CCGCCCGCCGCCCGCCGCCGTCGTCCCTTTGCCTCCCAGCTCGCGTGCTCCTCACCTCCTAGGCGCCGGCGGTGGCTCCATGGCGGCCCGGAGCAGAAGCAGGGACCGAGCGGACCCTGAAGGCCGGAGGGAGGAAAGGAGCCGAGCAGGGGCTCCGGGCAGCCGATCCCGAGTAACCACAGGGGGAAACTCCGGGAACTCGGACCAACTTTCCCGTAACTCCGCGGCGGATCTCCCTCCCGTTCCCCGGAGTGGCTCCTCCGCCCGCCCCGCCCCTCAGCCGAGGGCCCCGGCAGGGAGAGGGGGAGCGGACAGGCGCCGCTGCGGGGGCGGGGCCCGTGCTAGGAGGACCCAGCAGGGAGAGGGAGGAGCCGGGCCTGGGCGACTGGGCGGGGCCAAGGCGGCGGGGGCGGGGCGGGGCGGGGCGGAGACTGGGTGTACTCTGGGAGGACCGGTGCTGGCCACGCGCTGTGGAAAGAGTGTAGGTGAACCAGAGAGCCTTAGGCCTAGACCCAAAGCAGTTGAGGGTGATGGCGCGAGGCGCCCTGGGCTCGGCTCCTCACTTGCCTCCGCTGTGTTTGCAGCAGTCTAATTTGAGATACTTCTCTGGAGTTCTGTACATCCCATGCACCTTGGGAAGCCACGTGCAAAATAACTGCCCATGCTTCCCTCTCTAGTTTCTGTTTATAATTATTGGAGGAGGTTTCCCCCAGCCACATGACAGTTGTAGTCGCTGGAGTAGGGACACTTCTGGAAATTCTTGTTTGATTTTGATTGTGTACATGTGCCTAACTATATTTCACAGTAATTGTATCTAATTACAGAGAAAATACTGCAGTGAGGTAGAGGTTGCAAAAATAGAAGAGAGAAAGGAGGCTAGGAAATCGTAACTAAAAAATTGTACATTTAGAAAGAATAAAACTTGGAACCCACCTGAAGTCACCCAAGGAGATCCATATCAACATTCTTTTGATTAAAAGTAGGCTCCTGTTTTTCAGACCATCACACTCAAGGAAAGGTCTAACAGTTATTGTGTGGCTCCAACTGGATCAAATAATTAGACTACATTATCTCATTAAACCCTTAAAACTACCTTGTGAGGTACTTATGTCCCTCTTATAGATCAAGCTCAGAAGAGTGAGGGGTGTTACTTCAGGTTAAACGGAAAGTCTACACTCCAACCAAGGCCTTTCTGACTCCAAAGCCAGGTCTCACTTCAAAGTCAGTCAACAAATATTTACCAAGCACCTAGGTATGCCAGGTACTATTCTAGCTACAAGAGATTTTTATCAGTGAAGAAAATAGAAATCCCTGCCCTCATTAGGTATAATAAACAAATAGACAGAAATTCTTGCCTTGATTTTAGTTGAGTAAACATAAGATAAAACAGGGCCTATATTAGCCAGCTTTCCTTTTTCTGGAATGAAATACTTCAAGTAAAGGTTGACTTGACTCATGGTTTCAGTAGGTTCAATGCATGGCTAGCTCACACCAAGGCAGAAATGCCATGGTAGAAGGGTCTAGCAGAGGGTAACTGCTGGAGAAATGCCAAGGACAAGATACACACTTCCAGATCATTCCCCCGGTAATTCACTTTCTTCACCCAAGCCTCATCAGAATCAGCTATGAACTCATGAATGGATCAATCCACTGATGAATATAACCCTTTCCGGGATGGTGTTAGGCCCAGAGGCAGGAGTGTGCCAGTGTAATGGCAATAAATAAAATTTGCTTTCCTTGTGAATTATGCAGAAGAAAAAAATGCTTGGAGAACTTCTGTCTTAATTTGTCTGTGGAAAGCCAGCCTAAAGATTCCAAGAAGGACATCATCATTCAACTTGCTAATAAGAAATAGAAACATCCATGAATAAATAGAAGCTGTAGAAAAATTTGAGATACAGGTGAGGGTCACTCTGGTTGGGGTATGTGTATGTGTGTGTCCCCACCAGGCCCCTATCACCAGGAACAGCAACAGACTCAGCGGCCAACATCTTCCCTCCAATCATACTTTCCCTTTCCCCAGAAACCTCATAGGGACACTTTCTGTACAGGTTTCTAGCAAAATTCACCAAGACAGCACCACAGAATGTTCTGTATTGTACAGTGAGGTCCACCTATACCCTCTCCAACAAGGACTGGATCTCAATCTTTGGGGAGCAGGATTCTTCCTTGATCGCTCTATCTCAGCCACAAGGGATATAACTGCTTCTGATGTCTGCCACTGGTGTGATCTTAGTTCATTCAAGCTGTCATAAGAAAATATAAATGGCTTATAAACAACAGAAATGTATTTCTCAATGTTCTAAAACCTGAGAAGCCAAAGACCAAGTTACTTGCAGATTAAATGTCTGGTGAATCCCTATTTCCTGATTCATAGATGACTGCTTTTTCTATCTATTCATATTGTGGAAGAAGTGAACACACTCATGAGGCCTCTTTTATAAGGGTAGTAATCCCTTTAACAAGGGCATAGTCTCCATGACCTAATCACCTCCCCAAAACCCTACAACCAAATACCATCACATTAGAGGATAAGATATAAACATAAGAATTTTGAGACAATATAAATATACAGACCATAGTTTTCTTTAGCTACTTTTGCTTCTTACCAACCAACTCCTTATTATTCCAATCCTGTTACAGTTACAACTGTTCATGTTAAACCTTCCCTGTTTAAATAAGAGTGTGGTCTCTGTACCAAACTGGACCTTAACAGACACAGAAAATAATAGCAAAAAAATCCCAGGCACCACTCTAGACTCAGAAAATACATGACTGATACTATCAGTCTGATTTTACTTTCAGTTGAAAGCACAATGATCGACATGAGCAGTGAAATTATTTCAAGACTGAAAAATTTGAGAAATACAAACGGTTTCAGGTATGCCTATACATAATAAGATCATACTTTCAGAAACAGTGGTCTACTGTAACTTTATGTAAATATAATAACTAAACCCTGTGGGGCAAAATATAGATGTTACGGTCCTTGCTCTCTAATACATAAGGCTTAGTGGGATGTTTTAGATGTATCATGATAACTAGCAATGATTGGTTCAGTCACTGAGCTTGAAGGCAGAGAGAAAGGGGGAAAAAGGAAAGGAATCATTACTAAGAAACTTGAATCTCTTTATTGGCCTGGGTTTAGACACTTTAACATAAAGGACATAAATTCTATAATCTCATTTGTTCTATGCTTTTATAATTTCTCTTTTTCTACTTGTAGTTTTTCAATATATATATATATGTATGTATTTGGTTGTTACAGGGTCTCACTATGCAGCTCGGACTCACAGTGATCCTCCTGTTTTCAGCCTCCCCAGTGCTGGGATTACAGACATGCACCACCACACCCAGATTCTGTGGCTGGCCCAGCTCACCCTGGGGGCAGAGGAGGTACGGCATGTGGTGCCAGGGATTGAACCTCAGTCCCTGCACTTGCCTAAGCTTACCTAAGCAGGTGCTTTAGTCCACTGAGCTATCTCACCAGCCCTCAATATCTTTTTATTCCTGTTTTTGGCCTCTATTACTAATTTTTAATTTGTCGTAGCTGAACTAAGGAAAAAGAAGACATGACTACTTCGAAGCCAGGGAAACTAAAGAAATAAGAATACTCTAGATATATAGGTGATAGCAGCAATAGCTAGCACTACTAGAAAACAGTACACTGAAGAGTGGGGCAGGAGAAAGAAAAAGATGATCCAAAGATACACTGCAATCTCAAGTGAAAAAGAGTCAATCTTTAAATATTTAAAAATCTTACATTTAAGCTATACATTTAGTCCAATTTCAGTTTCTAAACATCAGAATGACTTTTTCATAGAATTTAACAAGTTAATTCTCAAGTTAAAATTAAGGGGAGAATGAATTATAAACACCAGTAATTTTTATAGGAAAAACAGAAGGAATAATGAAGAGAGACTCATTCTGGCAGATAGCAAAACATTTGTTAAAACTATAGAATTAAAATCATGTGGTATCAATTTTAAAATACATAAGTGAATACATCTAATGAATAATGAGCCCCAAATGAAACCATTTTATAAGAAAATTTTGTTCATGATAAAGTGGTATTTTATTTTATTTTATTTTTTTTTAATTTATGTTCTGGTTTTGTGTTTTTTTTTTCAACAAATAATACACTGCATATATTCTTCTTAGTGGTTAATTGCTGTACAAGATGCGGACTTGTGATCCTATTTACAAACACCATTAGAACAAATCATTCTATTCATTAACAGAATGTAACTATATATCTATCCCAACCACTTTGAATACACAGATACAAAATGGACATTCATCTGTATACCCCATTTTTTCTAAGTTCCATTATTGAATATTATAGGTGTGTAAACTCAGCAAAATATGCTAAAAGAGTCCAGTAGCCCATAATAGCATTGGGTCTTCTGTTTAACTGGCAATGTCAGAAATTATTGACCTGAGTCCCCCACAGCTCAACTTAACAGCATGGCTTTATTTCTTATAATTTCGTCTTCATACTTTCCTGCTGGGTGGTTAAGACCAAGGTAAAGCAGGACCTATGCAACAAGAGTTGTAGCTTTTTGGTCTGAGAAGGTCAGTGAAATGCCCTCAGGATTTGTCCTGAGATCCTGTACCTCAGATTGTAGAACCTTTATCAGTGCAGCCATGTGGATGAGTCACGGCCAATGCTTGGCCAATGTGCTCTCTGTGAAAGCCTGAGAGAGTGTCTTCTCCCCATGTGACTCTCCTTAGGCCCACTCTATGTCATCGATCACTTTCCTTTTTGGCCCCTAATCTTCTTGATCAGAAAATTTGGGACACTACCGAGGTACATGACGTTACAGTACAAGTTCTCATATGTCCTGAGTCTTAATTGACCTTAGAAGGCTAGGGCCAAAATGTTGGCTTTCCTTGTAGCCCTCCTTTTTCTCTAATTTTGGTCTGCGAACTTAGGTTGTTAACCATCCAGAAGAAAAGCTTATTGTTATTATCAAACGATTTGGGCTATCAATCTTAACCTCACTATCTCACTGCATTTCAAACATCTTAGGCATAATAAGGAACAGGTATTTTTCATCAAGTATTGATATGTTGAATTTTAAGTCCCTACAGAATATGATAAAAAAACATTTAAAAATTAGATTATATTTTAAAAAATAGGATAAAGAATTCTATGCTTCTCATGTTTGCACATAAGTCCAAAAATCTCACCATACACAACCTTGAAGCAGGACAGTCCCACAATATTCCTTTTCCTGTTTCTTGCTTTCCTTCATAAAGTGGTATTTTAGATCATAGAATAAAGACTAGATCACTTAATACATTGTTAATGGAACAATAGTTTATTTGGA